ATTACCCCAAAGCAAAATGCCGTATGTCTTTGAAAGTAGCTGAAGTAAACCAATCTAGCGGTTTCGACGTCTGAAAGTTTCCTTATTTTATTAATCGCGTACACTGCAGAGCCGAGCCGTTTTGATAACTTACTTATATGGGGACCCCATTGCAATTTAGCATCTAACTATATACCTAGAAATACAACTGGATCCACAAGATTCAATTTTTCGTTTCTAACTACAATGTTTGTAACCATCTCTCTAACATTGGGTAATGTAAATTTCACACAATTTGTTTTTTTCTAATTAAGAAGTAGGTTATTAATAGCAAACCAATCAACTACTTTAGATATAGCATTGTTCACATCGTCGTAGGAACATTGGTGCCTTTTAACTTTAAATAATAAGGAAGTATCATCAGCAAACAATACTATCTCATGTTTTATACCCTCCATAAGCCTAGGTAAGTCATTAATATAAACTAAAAACAAAAATGGGCCTAGAATTGAACCTTGAGGGACACCCATGTTAATTGCAGATCCTGATGATCTCGTACCGTTAACATCGACCCTCTGTGCCCTGCCACGCAAATACGATTTAAGAAGGTCGAGATCACGTCCCGCCACACCATAATGGCGAAGTTTCCTGACCAGTGTATCATGGTGCACACAATCAAAAGCTTTGGAAAGGTCACAGAATACACCAATAGCATCATGTGAGACTTCCCATGCATCAAATATATGATTAATCAACTCGACACCAGCGTCGGTTATAGAGAGACCCCGAGTAAAACCAAATTGTTTAGGAGACATTAAGTTATTACTATAAAAATGTGCACACATCTGATTTAGAATATTTTTTTCAAATATTTTACTGAGAGTTGGTAGTTTTGATATAGGTCTGAAATTGGTGGGGTCAGAAATACTACCAGATTTCAAAAGTGGAATAACTTTACTTTGCTTCATGAGGTCAGGAAAGACACCATCATCAACACATTTATTAAAGACACAGGCTAAGTAAGGCGCAATACAATCAACTATAGAACTAATTACTCTGACTGAAAGACCATCAAGATCAGCAGTATTTTTTATGTTTATAGACTTAAAGGCTTTAACAATATCGCTTGGAAATACATGACAGAACTTTAAATTAGTGATACTAACTGCATTATTTTCTTTTAGTAAGGATTCAGCGGCGGTGGGAGATGAATTTAACGACTTAGTAGTCAAAATTGGAAAGTCAGTAAAAAAAATTTCAAATATTTTAGCAACTTCTGCGTCTGTGTTTACAATTTTGTCATTAAATCTTAGTTGAAAATCTAAGTTACGAGGTTTGACCCTTGTAGTTTCTACCACTAGAAATATCTGTTGTTGAGTTGCATATAATAGAACCCTAGTAGATATCATATACCTACACAGATTTCAGTAACGCATTCGTCAAGGCCGACCATTAAATCCTATTAAACCAATTGTTGCTTCTGAGCATTGGTGGGTCATTGCTTGAATGGGTCAAATCTTACTTATTTTATCGGCGTTCTAAAGTAGTGGTTAACGGTTTTTGTTCAAATGTTTTTGTTGCTCTATCTGGGGTTCCTCAGGGTCTAATTTGGTCCTATTTTTTTCAAGTATGTACCTTTTTGCTGATGTCTTAGAAGTCATTAACAATTAACATAATTGGTGCTCATCTAACAAAATGATATTAAATATTGGTAAATGTCACCATATTCGTTTTTCACTCAACAAACTTGAAGTCATATGAATATAAAATTGATGGACAGAAATTATGGACGTTAAGTGAGATACAGGATTTCGGGGTGTTGGTAGATAAAAATTTGAAGTTTGACTCACATATAAAAAAAAAACAGTGAAAAGGGGTTTATAATGCTGGGGTTCATATTGTGCAATGCGAAGGCCTTCAACAAAAATTAAGCTTTTTACAACTTATACTTGAATTCAGCAGTTTTATTTGGAATCCACACAATAAAGTGTATGCCAAGCATTTGGAAAGCTTCTATTATACCATTTGGCATACGGTGATTTTAAGACTAGGAGGCTGTCAGATCATCCACAGAGACTCAATCCTACATATTGGTTTCTTTAGTTGACCGTAGCAAGATACTTGACTTAATTTTCCAATATACAATTGTAAATCGCTAATTAGGTTATAATGTCGATGTCGCTACTTGATTGCCCTCAGGTATTGAATGTGCTGCAGTTCAATGCTCCATTTAGGTTGCCCAGAAAGGGCTTGCATGCTATGACGTTACTTAGTATGGTTCACTACTTAATGTGTAGTTTTTTCTATGTGGAATATTCTAAATAAATAAAAAGCCTTTTTTGAACATTTTTTGAAGTGTACACAAAATATGTAGATAAAGTACATTAGATGAACTTTGTCCAGCTATACTCATATATCAAAGCTTTAAATCTCGCTAATGTCCCGAAAACTTCAAAAATTATTATTTCGGAAATTGCGCGGAGTTAGTACTTGAGTTTTTTTAGTGGAACTAGTCTATAAGTGAGGCTAGGTTTTAAAACAAGTTGCAAATAGAAAATAACTTATAAAAAAGTTAGAAAGAAATTAAGTAAAAAAAAATTACGAAATACCGATTTACTCTTTAGGTGCCTATGTGATTTAGCTTTTTTTTTTTTGACGAGGGGGAAATCTTTATGGATACCCCTGAGCCCAGGGAGACTCAGGGGCTATGTGGGGACTCTCCTTCCAGGCTGGAGGGCCTACCCCCTATGTGATTTAGCCTATATGTGCCAGCGCGGCCAAACATTTGTAATATGCTTACAAGTAAGGCCTTTAAAAAAACAATCTAACGTATTGCTTAGCTGTAACGATTTGGTCACTAGAATTTTATTTTCAAAAAATACCGAATACGGGACATAAACTTTAATCTAAGTTTTTTCCCAAAACTATTGTAGTGATACTCATGGAAGTTTTACTCATGCATTCGGAATGAAACATCTTCTCTGATTCTTTTGTTAACAGGGGCATGTCCGATTTTAAGGGAAAAATAACACTGTGCTTCACAAGCACAGTTACATCAATAATGGCATTAATCTTGCTACTATCCATCCTGAGCGATCATCTGTAGTTGCTAGTGGTCAGCTGGTTTTCATTTGAACGAAATTTTTATTAAAGTAAAGTGAAATGTGAATAAACTGAAATTAATTTACATGTAGTTGTACTACGTCAACAGCACATCAAGTTATATTATGTACTTTTGTCGGAATACCGCCTCCAGTGCGACTTCTGTGTGTGTGATGGAGTAATATCCGTCAATATGTAGCTTCATGTGCTGCCGTCATGGTATTTTAAAATGTTTCTGATATTAAATATTAAACGTGCAAGTTTAGAATTATAAATTTCAATATACAAGAGTACAGTAAAGACAGCGCCCGCCGTGAGTAAGAAATTAATTTATTATGTATAATAAATAAAAAATCATTTTTAATATATTTTTATATTTTTTCCAATTAAATAATATTATAATATTACGAGTATACAGATGTTTTTCCTATAATAGTAAAAATTCAAGTCCATGATATTGTGAAGAATGGCAACACTATGTGCAAAAATGCTATTTTGATTTTCCTTCCCGCCGGCTCTTGACGGTTTGCTTTTGGCACGTGCAATTTTCATTCATTTTTATTGAAATATAACTAGGTATTGCTAAATACAGTTCAACACTGATGCTGACGGTTGGGAAATATCATTTCGGTAAGTGTTTTGTTAATATTTTAGCGCTGTACGTTTCATAAAATATCTGCACGTGTTGTATCGTAGACAGCAAAACAACCATTTGCATTCGCCAGACAATATAGCTACGATATGGTTTTGTGATTATGCTATGTTTTGTTTATTGTCATCAAGGATTATACTTGCGGAGGCGCAAATCTTTCGATGTGGACATGGCCGTAGCGTCATTTGTTTTTGTTTACCTGCAGATCTTTAGCATAGTGGCACGATACAATGTCGCCTTCACCGATCCGCTGCCGCGGGCCCTGGAAAATACATAAGCGCTCGTCGGAACCCGACAGATGGCTGGACGAGATGGGCTTTTTTCGAAAGCACACGGCTAGGGACTCCAGCTGCCTGTTTAGGGCCGTCTCTGAGAATATCTACAATACTCAAAGATACTTTCACAAGGTTCGCCTAGACTGCGTTCAGTTCATGGCTTCCAAGCGGCATCTCTTTGAAGGGGTAGGACTAAATGATCATTATCTACATATTTGTTCATTGTTTCTAATCAAAGCCCAGCCTAAACACGAGTTTTTATGTTGTAGTCTTTGACTTGTCCATTCGAAAATTATCTCAAAGAGATGTCAAACCCATCAGAATGGGGAGGGCTTATTGAGATATCTGCCATGAGCCATCTTTATTGGTAAGAAAATCCCTAATAACTTGAATAATTGGTTTACCGAGTGTCAATTTACTTGTATTGCATTTTCAATGTCTCCTTGAACATTACAGGCGCGATTTTGTTATATTTGAGGCCAACAAGGGGCCACAAACTAAAATATGCAATGGCTATGGAGACACAATATTCTTGTTTTACTCCCCTGAAACCAAACATTTTGATGCGGTTTACACAAAAGATTTCATTAATTCATCTTCGTTTTGCCAGTGTAAGTCATATTTTTATCATAGGTATTTGGAAATGAATATATTTTTATACAATTCTTTAAAATAACTAGCTAGCGCCTGTATTTAATAAAATTTCAATGAACACTTCATGAATTAATTCCCTTTATGTACACCGAACAATATCATTTTTGTAATCCTTTATTGACATATATATGTTATTTCAAACATTTACTACACTGTCAATATTTATAGCTTTAGTTTATGAAATACTCTATGATGGAGTGTACCAACTCAAGGATTTGTCATATGCTGTTGATAAAATGCTCCACGACAAAGTGCCAACAAACCACATTGAGTACTTCATGTCTGAGAATGTGGAACGCCGTAAGAAGCAAAAAGAGAGAGCGAAGATCTTCATTGAGGCCACTAATGATGATGACAAAGACAGAAACAACAATGCCGTAGCACTAAAATGCAAACATCACACTCAGGATCTGGAAAGAGCCAGTCTTTTGAAGGAATCTTTGAGCATCTTTGTGTTCAACCGCAGTCTCATTCAGCTCGAGAATGTCTGCATGAACTGCCTCAATGTGAACAGTGCTAAAGACTTGCTGGATAATGGCATAACTCCATTTCCTTATAAAGTGGCAAAGGCTTTGGACCCCGATATTTACAGGAACATAGAGTTTGACGTGTGGAGTGAACTCCGGCGAGGTACATCAGCATCTTTTCAATTAATTGTCTCCATTTGTCAATGGTAGTAAAATTGTAATGATGTAATTGCAGAAATGCGTTATGGTGCTAGATATTCAGATGGAACGACATTACAAGTGGGGGTGAAGTGTTTATGCAAGCTGCAGCCAGATCAAACGGTTCCCTATCACTGCCATATTCAGGAAATGCGCCCTGACGGTGGGCCGTGCCTTGTTTTCATTGAGGAGCTCGGCGAGAAGCGCATTGTCAAATATGACCAACTTGAGCCCTTGCCTCTTGAAGAAATTCGCCCCTGGGCCCCTCCATACCGATACTCCCGGGCAAATTCACAATTTCTGACTCTCAGTCAAATGTTGCAGCAGATAGGTTTGTTTGAACTTTAATTCTGGTACATGAGTTCATTGGGAGCATAAATTGTGTGTTAAATTGATAGTTTTTTCATTGTATCACTCATACTCCTGCCTTTTCAATTTCCAAGTCCCAGAACTGCTTAAAAAATCGGTTTTAAATAACTGTATTTTATTGGTTTTTTAAGTATTTTTGTGATGCGCCTTTCATTGATATCATTCTCATCCAGGCAACATCACGCGTAAGCAAGGTCTGAATAAAACGCGAAACAAGGCAAAGGTCGGCAACGAAGAGCCAAAATCCCCAGAAAAGTCTCCACAGAAGCAGCCCCCTAAGCTTGTCTGGAAGGATGAAAAGCCCCCAGAAACAGAAATCTCCCAATACGCGAGCCAAGGAAGCGTAAACTTTAACGCATATCAACACTTGGATTTCCTTAACTTTGAACCTATGCCTGTTAGTTTGGCCTGTTGTATTGTAGATGTGTATTATATAGGCACTTGTAAGCATGTCACTTATGAAACCATAGCTTCTTCTTCACTATCAGAACTACTTTAAAATAAAAAGCGTACCTGATACATAGTTCATTGCATACAGAAATTTCTTATCTATAAGTATATGTGTGCATACTATTTATATTACGCGGTCGATTGAACAATGCTCATTAATTTTTAAGGAGATGTTTCAGTTTAAAACAACTTTTGATAAATAAAGTAATGCTTAAAAATAAATACATTCTAAGTTTATAATGGATTGACCTTGAAAGTATTATTTTATAGCCCTCATTAGCATTCTACGGCGTAACACTCATTTAATTTCGGCTTTAAAGTACTTAGCATCCCCTCCTCTCACTCTCATTATCAAAGTACCACTCATCAACTTGGTATAAGTGTTCAATTCTCAACTGTTTGTGAACTTTTTTTTCAAAGTTTGTGAAGTGTTATAAGTGAAGTGCTTATAAGGAAGGGTAACTGCCATATCGTAGCTATTTCATCGTTGGAGCTTTTAACTTTGTAGTATGTAGTGGTTTTGTTAGTGTGTAGTTTAACACTAGTATTAATTTCAGTTAATTTAACATAAATATTTCTTATAATTGATTGATTGATCTGCATAAAGTGATCTTCAGTGTACAAATCAATTTTCCAGCCGTTGACCATGCAGAACTTGCTTTTAACAGTGGTTTAGTGATACAAATAATTTTGTTGCACCCTTTATTTGTAAGTAGTGCTGAATAAATATAATTAAAAGAAGTAGATATAACATTAAGTAGCATTAGGCAGTAAAAATTAATAATGCTTCTAGAGATTCTATATATTGAATATAATTAATTTCGGAAAAAGATATATGAAATAATATTTTTAAGTCTTGAAAAAGAATTTTTAAATGTCTTTAAAAATAATTGATATTTATTGTTCACCATCAAATCATTACTTATATTTCTTTATTGGGAACCGGTCTTCTCTAAAGAGAGAGGGTTTAGGCCAAAGTCAACGACGCTAGCCCAATGTGGGTTGGGGATATAACACGTTTTCCAGGGGATGTGAACCTTCTTCGACGTGTTTTGTTACAACATTTTCCTTCACTGCAAGAACTATTGATTCAAAATACTCACAAATGTGCGTATTTTAGGGATTATAGTCCTCTGTACACACTTCCACAGGGTTTCGAACCATCGACATATTTTTCTAATTTTTATTTATTATTTTACGTTGTACTTTCAACAACTGTAATTGTTTGTTCAACAACGTTATTTGTGCAACGATGATCGCGTTTTTTTAGAGCACCAATAGCCTAGTTGACGAACTGTTGCTTTTCAACACAGAGGTCTAAGGTTCGTATCCCTGGACTATGTGTATGTATGTATGACTTTTTCTAAGTTACGTACATTTGTGAATGTTAAATAGCAATGATCGGCGTGAAATCGGCGTATTTTTTTTTTAAAACACAAACATAATCTTTGGATTATTTTCCATTTTTTTTTACGATTGAACTTGTACTTAAGCAGTGCCTACACAGGTACTGTTACTAGAAATAATCAACTTATAGAATATTTATTAAAAAATGATGATATAAAAATAAACGCACTTAATTGAAATCTAGTATGAACAGCATGTAATTAATTTTAACTGTGCTGAAATATTATATTGAAATATATTAAATAAATAACCGAAGATGCTGGTTTTTCGTTAAAATAAAACAAATTTTCGCCACGGTAGTTTTACGCAGGTCAAGTTCAACGGCGGCAGCGCGACGCGCATATCTAGTTTGGAAATTACTTGTGATTGTTATTCAATTTGTTGTTGGCCTCAGCGTTCGGTGATTCATGGCATGTACAGAATTGACACAGGTGCAACGTGCGCTATTGCAGGTTGAAGTACAAGCACTGCCCCTGATGGTGGATTGTCGGCCGGGCGTGGGGGGTGCGGGAGCAGGGGGTGCGGGCTCGCACGAGATGCACCACCCGCACCATCACCAGCCGCCCAACGGCGCGCCGCCGACGCAGGATAACCACCAGGTACCATTGCCCCTTCCTAATATTTTTTTACTGTTTTTTTGTGTTATATTAGGTATAGGTTGTAAGCAGTGGAGCTTGTGAAAGAGTTCGTCCAGGGAAGTACTGCCATCTTACCTATTTCTGCCGCCAAGCAGTAATGTTAGCTTTGCTATGTTCCGGTTTAAAAAGGGTTAAGGGTGCTGGTGAAATTACAGGCACATGGGACTTGTCAACTTATGTCTCAGGGTGACGGGCGCAGTGGCGGTGCCCATCAGATCTTTGCGATTTGAAGCTCGTGAGTGGCACTGCACCTGTTATGGACAGACGTGTAGTTTAACATCAGGCGCACGACTTGTTCGTCCCGTCACTTGATATTATAAAAAAAAAGTTTTACGTTTTTGTAATTATTGACATTTACTAGTAATCAACTGCTTTTGACATATCTTCACCTAATTTTTATCACGTTTTTGACCACGGACCACATTTGACATAATAATAACATAAGGATTTAGGAGTTAGGATTATTTATTTTTTAAGCGACTTCAAAAAAAAAGGACTACGTTCTCAATTCGACTGTGTTTTTTTTGTGTGTGTACGTAACGCAATTACTCCGGCATTTGAGAACTGATTTCGATGATTCTTTTTTTATTTGAAAGAGGTTATTTGTATGAAGGAGGACCACAATATATATTTTTTTTCCTTGTCTTTTTCATCAAACATTATTTTAAGGTTAAATTGCTTTGCTTCACTAGATTTATTTTAATGTTAATTATTGTGATCTACATTTTGCTTTTGATATATATAATCATTGTTATTATTAATGACAGTGACACACAAGTACGAAACAGTCATTGTAGTGCCCATACAGCTTCGAAGATGGAAAAAATAAAAGAAAGGTGCTGCCCTAACTACGGATTAAACGTGCATATCTAAACAAAAATTGAACGAACAAATGGCGGATTTCTTTAGTGTCGTACCATATCTATCGATAAGCATTATCGACATGCAAACATTTAATTAAAGTACATCAATATTCCATTTGGGAATATTTTAGGTTATATGGGAATATCCGGGAATGTCACATGATATTTTGAATTTAGTGTTTTGCGTTCACAATTACTCAAATATTACGAAAAGTGAATTTGCACAGAAAAAAATAATATTTGTAATTTGAGAGTATATAAAAAAGAGAAAGCTTTGAAATATAAATCCTATGCATTTCCAACCTCAAGATTCATATTTTCATAGAGAAATTTTTAATCAGATTCCAAATAGTGTAAGCTTTTTTGTATTTATTTATGCATTGGTATAGAATTAATACCAGTGACTGATTTAAGTGAATCTTTAATACTTTCATTTAATTTTGGAAATAAATGAAAGTAGTAATATTATCAATAATAATATAATTATTATTTAATATTATTGTGTATTTGCTTAAAACATGGTATAACAGATGTAACAAGAGACAGTGTTAGCATAAACATGTTTCGCATATATTAAATAGCATGCATAGTTAATAATAGGCATAGTCTGATTATACAATGACAATTGACTACTATTGGCCAAGCGCCTTTGATTTGTGCAGAAAAATCGACACTTTTTTGAAGTGAGACAAGTAGTCACGATCGACTGCGAGGACACCGAACGATGGCAAGGCAAGGCAAATAGGCTGTCTATACGTTGGTATTGTCCGTCACCCGGCAGTCGTAGACATAGTATTTATATTACTGGCTTTATAAAATAAGAATTTTAGTAGTTAGAGTTGTCAGTGGGAAAAAATCGGAAACGAGTGGATAATATCGTTTACAGGAACTGAGAATGCCTAGTAAACGAGTCTAGTTTAATCTAAATTTAATATAAAATTATGTACCAATAAACCTATGATGGAATTGCATTATCATGTAATGTAGTTACATTCAAAGTTATGTTAAAATTTGACTCTTCAAAATGAAGCGAATAAAATAAATGAAGACGGTCTTTGATTCAATGTTTATATTCGGCACTATTATACGGCGGCATGATTTCCAACCATTTTTTTTTCTTTTTTGACTTGTAGGTAAACTTGAAATCGTAAACATAATACCAATAAAAACCACGTAGTGACTTATTTTAATAACAGAATATCGATAATATGTACGCTTCCAAGAACAACACTATCTCAAAATAATCGTTAACAACAATCATCAAAATGTACAAACAAACAGGCAATCTGAAGAAACCAAAGCAAAATTTCGCAAGATTTATGAATAAACTATTCAAATATGTCGAATTGCATGAGATATTTGGGCTTTTGTATGATTTATAGACAGAAAATTAGCACGTGCCTGTACAATGTTACATTCGGTCGATCTTCGCTTTTTCAAATGCCACATCCCGTAATGCTGCAGCGACGAATTTTTGTTAACACTTAATTGTTCTCACTGTCAATATTTTTGTCCATTTTATTACAATACATGCGAATAATTCAATAAAACACTTGGAAAACATTTGTTTGGACGAAGGAATTTTTTCTGAGTGTTCGATCTTTGTATTAATAATTATAACAAATTTCATATTATTTCCGCTCAATTTTACTCCGCTCTATAAATACTGAAGGCGTTTTTTGTATGTTCTTCAATCGTGCTCACATAATGCTTTTAACCGCGAATGCCGTGTCTGTCCGCAGGGCGGCGCGAGCGGCGACATGGGCATGGGCATGACGTCACCAGCTTCCGTGCGCGCCTCTACCCCAGCCACCTCCAACTCACTCACCACCTATTCTGGTAAGTCGTTCCTGATTACTCCATATTTAGAGTTTTTGACAAATACTTAAAAGTCAATTTCTTCCATAAGAAAAAAACACAATTTGATGATCTAATAACAAAACAGAAAACAAATTCGTAGAAAAATTTAATAGTTGTACGTGTAGGGAGTTAAAGAGATCATCAAATATCCTATTGTCGAAATTTTCACAACTATTGAGACGATTATGGGAACCTTTTTAGTTTTTAGTAAACTGGAGTGAGTACTTGACATGAAAAAAAAAAAGAAGAAAACAAGGCGTATTATAATTTTCGTAACAAATTAAATTTACTAGTTACGTGGACTACAGTACATGAATTGTCTGCAATAGTACTGTAATGCTGTAGTAGAAAATTAAAACTAGACTGATTTGAGATTGTGCTGCTAAAATCCATGAGTAGTTCGCAGACGCATTTAAGATCTCATGGACCGACATTCTCGTGAAGGTGGGAACCTAGCGTTAGATGGAGACGGCATAGGACCGCTCGTAGACGCAACTCTTTTAGGGTGAGATTTATTTCACGAACAAGTCGGAAGTTTTTTCACAAACTCAAGTGTACTTAGTGACTTAGATTTTTGAGAGACGAATAGGTACTAAATACCTGTGTCACAAACTGACGTGGTCATCTAACGTTTGCGTACGCTGCAGGGAGAGATCTGCCCGATTTTGTGCACTTATGGTACCACAACATAGAACTGCAGCATTTAGGGGTAGTTTCAAATATTTGTCTTCAAAAGGCTGGAATAATATTCCACCACCTACGACCATGATGAGTCTTATAAACACAAATTCTTTTATCGAGAACACCTACTCTCGTTGCAAAAAATCTGTCTTAATTTGTTGAAATTTAACTATTAATATTAGTTTTCATATGTACTCTTCTTCGTAGCCTTGTTTCTAAATATTTACACTAAAACATTCACATTTTTCACTTACAGTTACACTTATATTTATATCCGCACATGCACTTACATATTGAATAGGTTATTTTAGATGCACTATTCACACTTTATTACATGTATGATTTCAATGACATAATTTCCCTCCTATTATATCTTTACAAATAACTCTTGGATTTAGTCCCTCTCGTTGGTTCTGACTGAAAAGCAGCGCCTTAAGGTACTCGTGCACGTACTGAGTCAGCGCAATTTCACTGCTATGCTGTTGTATTCTCTATAAAAATGTCTGTTCAGGCGGCATGGTGCCCGGCGGAATGGTGAACAACGCGGGGTACGGCGCGAGCGGCGGCTGCGCGCCCTACGTGTGCGGCGTGGGTGTGGGCGTGGGCGTGGGCGGCGTGGTGAAGGGCGGCGTGGTGTGGGTGCCGCCGGCGCCGACGCCGCACCCGCTGCCGCCGCCGCCTCCGCCGCCTGTCAACCCGCACGTCTTCAAGAGCGTGCAGGCGAACGGCGCCGATTTGCCCATGAATGGTGGATTACGCTTTCGAATATAATGAATGGGATGTTGTTGCCATAGATACGTTGGTTACGACATGTATGTGCATTTCGCAGATATCCCAACGCTGCGTTACTACTTCAACCTGGGCGTGGAGTGCATGTGGGCCGCGTACGGCCCGCCACCCATTCACCACCCGCCGAGGCACTACTCGCCCAGAGATCTCGCTCAAGTAGGTACTTTACTAAAGGAACTAAACCGCACTACATGCGGGCCTCCTCCGAGAGAAGGTAAGGTAGTAGTCCACCACCTAGGACAAGCCAGGTTGTCAATTCCATACGTTTCGGAACACTTACTACGATATTTTTATTAAGGGAGTCAGTGCTATCGTCTTTCTTTTAAAAAAGTACTTTTTATGTTACAAACTGTCGAACATATTATGCAAAAAATACCTTTCTCAGACAATTGTGTAGTTTTCATGATGTGTCTTCATAATGTCGATATATTTGTAAATTCCTTAAATATTTTTAAGAAAAAAGTGGGAGTACTAATATTCTAGTGGTTCTAATGTACATTTTTATTATATTATTATCTTTGGATCTGTAATATGAATATTACATTATTCTTATATTTATTTATATATTGGTAGTATATAGGTAAATATTTTGTATCCGTCACATATTTGCACCATTTATATTATATGTGTTAATGTAGGGTACTATAGGTCTATTTTTATACAGTGTTCTTACATAATTGTTTGTATATGACTGTTTGTTACCTGAATGAATAAATAAAAATAAATAAAGACCGAGTAAAATGACATTTCTAGGGTTGCCAGTTTTCATAAAATTTTAAATAGTTATATAGTTGTTGTTGATAGTGTTATCGATAGATTGTAAAAGAAGATGAAATTTTGCCAAAAATTGTAATAACTTCTAATAATTACTAATCGCGTTATTGCCTTTTTTATTCTTATTTTGACAGATGGCGTGGTAGTATCAATTTTTATTCAATACATATTAACAAGAATAGCCGGATTTCATTTAATTTATTCAAGTAAAATGAAAAAGTTTACAATATGTTTCCTCTTTGTATTTTTTATTTATACTTCTAAATGCTGTGTATATGTGTATGATCTTTCAAATTTTGACAATTCAAATGAACTTGTGCTCAATAATTGGATGAATAATGGGTTGAGGATGATTAAAATAAAACAAATTGGGCTATTTATTCCATATTTAGTCGATAAAATATTTATCGAGTGATTGTGATTGTAATCACCAGCTGCTCGTCGCAAGCGGGCAACACTTGGCGCAATGGACTGTCTTTTTACTCCGTCTCCAAAAAAGGCGGACTAGTTCGACCCAACCAAAAGTGATCGAACCCCCAACCAGATTGTAAAGCAAGCTTTCTCTCAATTATTATACCTTAATTCACCATTAAGTGTTGTGGCTCACAATAATCTGTAACTACAATGTTGTATTGTGAGTAAGAAAGGAGTTGCGTACAGGACATGCAGCAGCTGTCGGTGCACGAGGGGCGCATGAACCACGGCGGGAGCGAGGCGCATAAGCACAAGGCGGGCGGAGGGGGCGCGGGGGGGCCCCCGCAGGACAAACCGCCGCTCACGCAGAACAAGGGCAACGGCCAGCGCCCGCTGCTTGGGCCCAGGTGATTCCCTCTTCCTCATTGTTGTTTCATTTCTTGTGAAGTAATGTGAAACAACAAACAAGTGAAACTGACGTACATATAGAGTTCTCAGGTATTCGCGATTGGTGATTAGATCTAGATTGCGTATTCTTGTCTTTTCAAACAAAACAAAAGGTTATTTTGTTCATTTTTTGTTTGTTGTTTACAACTTTACTACATACAAGTAATAGTATCTTATCCGTGACACTGGAATGCCTTGAAACTGTGGCTCGATTGCCATTTTGCCTAGCGAGGCCTTAGGGCCTATACGAGGGGAATGATTATAAATATAGACCGTTACAAACCAAAATTTTTAGAGAACCTTCATAAAATCTGTATACAATTAAACTAGCTCAGTTAAGGGATAAACCATAATATGTACAAGACAAGAAGTCTCCGCCTGTTCGGCTCATCAAGACTTCAACTATGTCAAAGACGTCTGCAATGTGATGATTTTATGTATGCAGATTTAAGCGAGGCAACAACCAGGATGGCAGCCAGAATTCCAACCACAATCAGAACAAGGGCCATAACAATAACATGGGCAATAAGGGTCCCAATAACAGGTAATTTTAAAAATATAATATTCCACTCAATGCTTATTGGGTTAAAATTAAATCAGTTTAAAAAAAAATATAAAATTGAAAAGGGATATTCTTGTGGCGAAAAGGCTTTTTAAAGCTTTTTTTATAGAGAAAATATTTAATAATGACGCGAATGTATTTCTTGGAGATTTTATAGTATATATTATTTCAGCTCCGCGCAGTCTGTAGTTAGCTGTTGTTGTTAGTTGACTATAGCTGCTGTCGTGTCAGTTATGTATAAACAATGCATTGTGGAACTATGGTCTGCGCAGGCGCAACTCCCACGGCGAGCCACGCGGTGCGCCGGCGCTGGGCGCGCCGTTTGGTGGCGAGGGCGAGTGCGCTGTGGACGCGCCGTTGCTGTCGCTGCCCTACATCCCCTACCCACCGCCGCTTTACCCCATGCCATACTACCCCGTCGACGCCGACCCCGGTAAGCCTGCCGGTTCCTTCCGACTTTAAGGCCCGTATTACTAAACACCTTGCGAGCGATGTCGCTCGAATTCCGAGACGGGCTTGAGCCTTCCTGAATTAATAGACAGTAATCATCGATCTTAGGCCGTGGCCTACATCGACAACTCTCAAGTGATT